AGACTGGAAGCAGAGGGAAACGGTTAGCCTGGTTCCGTCAGAAGAGCAGCGATCAGTTTAATCTGTGATTGTGTTCACGGACGTTTGTAAAGATGGACGCCGACAGCGTGGAGGATTCAGACGCCTGAAGTTGGACGACGTTTTGGACACGTGGCTGCAGTTCCTCTAACGGCCACTTGAGGAACTGCCGTCCATCTTTTATACGTCGGCGGCGTCTCTTCTCACCGATATTACAGATTGCTTTCTTCCTCGTGAGCGTGGCGAGGTCACTTCCTGTTCAAACACTGATTTGTCGTTGCGTACTGACTGCTCGCCGCCTCCTCCAGCGGCGTCTTTACAATCACATTAACACTGTTTCCACGTGTGTGTGTGTGTGTGTGTGTGTGTGTACATTCATTAAGATCTGATTCCTCAGCTCCTGATGCTTCCAGCTGCTCTCACACTGGATCTCTTTGGGTTCTGACTGTCAGATAAAATGATTTCTCACTGTTTGCTGACGGTTTACAGTGAATCAGCAGAATAAATCTTCCAGCTCAGAATCGGTTTGTGTGGTCGGAACATTAAATGTTTTAAATACGCAGCTCGAGGCGGGAACAATCCTTCTGCTGACGTCTTCGTGGTTTTCCGCCAAATTAACTGCTTCTTGAATCGGTTGCGTTCAAGATTTTAGTCGAAACACTTCAAACGGTTCGAGACGAGGAACCAGAGGAACAGAGCAGAGCCGGTGGCGAACACGGTTAGTGGACGTACTTTGACCCGTCAGCTTACTTTAGAGTATTTCCACGTCTACGTCGGTGAATTAACGAAGATCTGAAGGTACAATGAGTGTTTCTGTCTCTGGAGTCTGGTGGAGAGTGATCGCGGTGGGTTTTGGTTCCAACTTTTCAGATTCTGAATCAATTTATTTTTGGTCCAAATGGTTTGAAAACTAGCTGCTTGAAGCGGGACAGAATCGGATCCCTGTGGCAGGAAAAGGGCCTACAGAGAGGGGCATTGTGGGTAACCGCAGACGCTCTCTAACCAACTACCAAACTTCATACAGAAAAGCTGCGTTTTTAGTGCAACAATCTAACATTTCTCCAACAGTCAGACGGGAATGTGGATACCAATGCATACTGATTAGCCTAGCTTAGCACAAAGACTGGAAGCAGAGGGAAACTGTTAGCGTCACTCCTAAACTGCCTGCATGAGACACAAATGTCAGACTGCTCTTATGTGTCTGACTTCCTCTGTGTGTGTGTGAGCGGGGGGGGGCAACTAAATGTGGACATCATCAAGTTCTGATCTTCCTCTTTCCCTGTTCTCTGCAGCTACTGACGAGCAGGTGGACACCTGGCGTGATGATTGATCGAAGGGTGGAAGGACGGAAGAGAAGGAGGGAAGGAAAGGAGGAGAGGAGGGTTGGGGGAGGGGGGGGATGTTTCAAAGGTTAGGGGTCATTTACAGTAAACTACAGATATATACACACACCCAAAATTGTACAGAGAACAAATATGTACATGCTCAGGGTTTCTATTTTTTAACTATTACCGACAACTTTCCCAAAATACGTTCCTCCTCCTCCTCCTCCTCTTCTTCTGTGGTCGCCAACGTCAGGAGAAATGTTGCACAGGTCCCTCCTCCTCTTCCTCCTCCTCCTCCTCACCTGTCTGTAGTGTATCAAGGTGGGAGGCGGGGCTTAAGAGGCCACCTGGACTCAAAAGTCACGTGACACGAAGGAGGACTTTAGCTGTTCTTTAGCAGCGTTCTGTCTTCAGGAGGACAGGAGGAGGCGGACGTGGAGGAGGAGGAGGAGGATGAAGCAGCGACCATGGTGGTGGTGGTGGTGGTGGAGGAAGAGGAGGTGGAGGAGGACGAGGAAGAGGAGCCGTTGGAGGGGAAGGAGAGCAGCTGTCCGGTCTCGGAGGAGAGGAGAGAGCAGGAGCGCAGGTCGACCGTCTGCAGGGAGGTGCAGCGCCGCAGCAACGGGACGCACTGCTCCGTCACCTTCACACAGCCTGAAACACAGCGCCACCGTCAGTACTGCAGGAGTACTGCAGGAGTACTACAGTACTACAGGAGTACTACAGGAG